TGTACACCACTTCGCCAAACACTTGAGCTGTTTTTTGTTTTTTTTTGTTTTTTTGTTTTTTTTTTTTTAAGATTTATTTATTTTTATTTTATGTGCGTTGTTTAGCATGCTTGTATGTCTCCTAAGGGTGTCAGATCCCCTGGAACTGGAGTTACAGACAGTTGGGAGTTCCCATGTGGTTGCTGAGATTTTAACCCAGGTCTTCTGGAAGAGCAGTCAGTGCTCTTAACCTCTTAGCTGAGGCATCTCTCCTTCCACTTGAGCTGTTTTTATTCTACCATAAAATATGTATTATTTCAGCCAAGCATGGTGGCACACATTCTTTTCGAGGCTAACCTGGTCTACATAGCTAGTTCCAGTCTGGCCAAGACATCATAGTAAGCCCCTGTATCCTGGTTGGTTTTGTTTGTTTGTTTGTTTGTTTGTTTGTTTACAACTTGATGAAAGATAGAATTATCTGGGAAGAGAAACCTCATTTGAGAAAATGCCTCCAAGATAGCTTGTAGGTAAGTCTATAAGGGCATTTGCTTGGTTAATGATTGATGTGAGAGGGCCCAGGCCAGGGCCACCTCTGAGTAGGTGATCCCAGGTTATGTAAGAAAGCAGACTGAGCAAGCCGTGGGAAGCAAGCATTCTGCCATAGCCTCTGCTTCACTTTTTGTAGCCAGGCTCCTGCCTTGAGTTAATATACGGACTTCCCTTAATGATGGACTATAATTTAAAGTAAACCATTTCTACCCCCAGTTGCATTTGGCCAATGTTTTATCACAGCAATACAAGGTGCAAACTAAGACAACCTGTCTGGACTAATTTTAAAAAATTTTTTTTTCTCCTGGACTATTAGTTTCAACTTGGGAGTAGAGTAGTGCTATCTCAGAAACAATATAGAAATTTCTGGCGTATACATGAATATTCTTGTGACTAAGGGAGGAGTTGCTGCTGTGCTTGAATAGGAGCAGGCAGAGTAATAAAGTCCTGCACTATGAGTACCAAGCCTCTGAAGGAAATGTGGTCCCCTTCCAGATGTTAGTTGCCTCCCTGCCTAGAGACGGGGATTGATTCTGAAGCAAACAATGAGTTCATTGGCAGGAGGATCGTGAGTTCTATTATGTAAAGAGAGCTAGACTTAAAATGAACTATAATATTGAGCCAAAAGGCATGACCATTTTTAAAGCTCTTGCAATATATTATTTCTGTGTGTTCAACATGCCATGGCACATGTGGAAAGGTCAGGGAACAACTTCCAGGAGTTGGTTCTCTCCTTTCACCATATGTTATGGGTCTTAGGGATTAAATTTAGGTTGTCAGGCTTGGCAGGAAGCACCTTTACCTGCCTCACTATCTCACCAACCCATAACATATTCTTTCTTATACAGGCATTTTAGCTCACTGTCCCCTAGTAGTAATGCAAGAAGTGGGCTCTCATCAGCCCCAACCATCAGTCATTATTCAGTGTTCTGCAGTTTAGAAAGGCTGAAAGACATTCCACCACAAAGGAAAGACTGGAGGACATCAGGTACATGAGGTCCAAGACCAGCTTTCCACCTACTGGCAAAATGACTCTAGAAGCTAACTCAGTTTCCATAGCTTTTAAAATGAAAACAGTAAGTAACACTGACCCATAGAGTATAATGTATATGTGTATGTGGTGTGTGTGTGTGTGTGTGTGTGTATAATATTATATTTAATAGGGTCACCTAGCCCATAGTCAGTTTCCAAGGCTTGTCCTTATTTTCTCCTGTTCCTGTTGTACATTGTAACCACATCTACTTGTTATTCATCAATCTGCTCATCTTCTTTTAGTAAAGGTACTGAGCATAGGTCCCATATCTTCCTCATCCCTAGCAGAGCTGGGTATCAAGAAGATACTTGATGAAGATTTATTAAGCAGCATTTACATATGTATAAACCGTAGGATAAATCAAAACCCCTGCCTTAATTGCATTTGTTCATTTGTTTGGGATGGCTTGGTGTCCTACTTTTTTATTGCTGCAACAAAACAAGAAAGCATTTAATTTGGGGCTTACAGTCCCAAGAGTCCATGATTATCATGGCAGGGAGCATATCTGCCTTATTTGTTTTTAATTATTTTATGTGTGTTTGTGCATATGTGAATTCAAATATGTGCACACTACGTCATGTGACTAGAAGACAAAGGAGAACTTTTGAAAGTTGGCTGGCATTTTCTGACTCTCTTTGTTTCTGCTGCACTGCATACTCTAGACCAGCTGATGATTCTCTGGTCTCTGTCTCCTCTCTCTCCATAGATGTGTTCCACTGCATCCATTTTTTTATGGGTTCTGGGGGTTGAACTCAGAGCAGCAGGCTTGCATGGCAAGTATCTTTACCTGCTGAGTCATCTCTCTGCCCCCTCTTTTTTTTGTGGGACCCTAGTAGGCTTACTAGGTATCTCAGACAGACTTTAAAGTTTCAATCCTCCTGCTTCATCCTCCCAAGTGCTGGGATTACAGGAATATGACAATATGCCTGACTTTAAGGCGCTAACATTGTAGTGAAGGCAGGTAGATAATAAACAAACAATCTTACAATGGTACCACACATCAAGTGGTGAAGAGTAATAAGAAAGGAAGAGGTCAGAACTTCTGCAGAGTTATCTTTTGTATAGAGGCCTGACTTAAGGAAGGGGAAGAATACCGAAGAAGGACAGAATGCCCAAGATTTTATATATATATATATTGAGATTTGCATAATCATGAAACATACCATTTATTTTTTAATTGTTGAAGAAGAGTCTTGTTCTGTAGCTCAGTCTTCCTGCCTCGGCCTCCTATGTGGTGAGATTATAGGAATGTGTCCCAATGCCTGGGTAAAACTTTTTTTTTTCTTTTTCTGTTTACTTATTTATGAATTTATGAGCCAAGATTTCACTATGTAGTACTGGCTGACCTGGAACTCAGAACTCTGCCTGCCCCTGCTTCCAGAGTCCTGAGATGAAAGGTATTTGCCACCACACCCAGCCAAAAACTCACCATTTCAAAGTATATGATTCAGTAGTTTTTGGTAAGCCACATCCCTAGACATAAGTAGCAGAGTTCCAAATAATCCCTGAGTTAGAAAGAAGCATAACAGCCAGGCAGTGGTGGCGCACTCCTTTAATTCCAGCACTTGGGAAGCAGAGGTAGGCAGATCTCAGAGTTCAAGGCCAACCTGATCTACAGAATGAGTTCCAGGACAGCCAGCGCTACACAGCCAACCCTGTCTCAAGAAAACCAAAAAAATAAAAAAGAAAAAGAAAACACCACAACAGAAATTGGAAAATATTTTAAACTAAATGATAATGGAGTTTAGTATGGTAGTACAAGGTTATAATCGTAGCACTCAGGAGGCAGAAGCAGAAGGATTTCCATTTCAAGGCCATCCTGGGATAAGAAATCATGCCTCAAAAATTTAATTAATTAATTTAGTTAATTAAATAAAGAAAGAAATATAGATAGAACTTATCAAATTTGTGATATATAACTAGAGCTATTTAGAGGGAAAGCCTTATGCACTTAATTTTAGACTTTTTATATTTATTAATTTATATGCACACACACCACACCACAATACCTTTGAGAGTCAGTTTTTCCCTTCCACCATGTAGGTCCTTGATCTCAAATGTTTGTCATCAGACTTGGTGTTGAATGCATTATGTGATAAGCTGTCTTGCTGGCCCAAATACATACATCTGAAAAGAAGTCAGGCATGGTAGAACATGCACTGGAGAGAATGCAGGAAGATGGTGAACTGGAGGCCATCCTGGCCACATGAATACCCTAGCAGACAAAGTGAATAAATCACCGTGGGGTTACCAGGACAAAAGATAGGAAAACAGGAAATATATAAGAGGCAGGACACGTGACTCTATGGCTAGCCCTGAGTTTGTTTGCATTTGCAGCTCACTCTCCTGCTAATCCTTCCCTAGCTGGGAGACTTGTTGCAGAGCCTTTCCTTCTGTCTGTCTTCACTTAAGATAGGAATACAACTTGTCCCTTAAGTTTGTTTCTTTGGGTTTTGGTTTGATTTTTGGTTTTTCTAGACAGGGTCTCTGTGTAGCCTTGGCTGTCCTGGAACTCACTCTGTGCACCAGGCTGGCCTGGAACTCAAGAGATTCACCTGCTTCTTCCTCCCAAGTGCTGGGCCTAAAGGCATGTGCCACCACCCAGCTGTCTCTTGAGTTAGTGTGTGTGGCCAGAAGAAGGCACCAGATCTCATTACAGATGGCTGTGAGCCACCATGTCGTTGCTGGAAATTGAACTCAGGACCTTTGGAAGAACAGCCAGTGCTCTTAACCTCTGAGCCATTCCTCCAGCCCCTTCTTTCTTTCTTAAATTCCATGTCAGTGTTATGGGTTCTTACACAAAAAGCACTTTTAGCAAGTCAATTTCCGCATATCAAAACTTTATATCTGACCTCAGGGTTGTTTTGAAACCTGAAGTAATTCTCAGCCATAGGAGACTTGCTGATTTGCCAGGCATGTCTCCAGCCTACATTATGCAAAAGCTCTGAGAACCCTTCAAAAGAACAACCCCGTAAAACTTAAAACAATCACTGACAAAAGGCTACTTCAAAGTCTAGATGCCATCACGCCAGATTCATGCCAGATACAATGGTTCTGCTAAAATTCTGCTTCAGTTCTGTTTTTATGTGTATTGTGTGTTTTGCCTATTTGTGTCTGTGTACCACATGCATGCTTGGTGCTTGTGGAAATCATTAAAGGGTATCAAATGATCTGACAATGGAATTACAGTTGTGAGCCACTGTGTGGGTACTGGAAGTGGAACCCAAGTCCTCTGGAAGAGAATTCAGTGTTCTTTACTGCCGAGCCATCTTGCCATCCCCTAAGCAGATTTTTTTTATTTTTTCATGTGGTATCTCTCCTTCCACCAATGTGGTTTCGTGCACCTTTGCCTGTAGAGCCATCTCTCTGGCACTTTAAAAAACAAAAAACAAACAAACAAAAAAAAACTTTACTGATTTTGTTCTTTGATCATTTCATACATGTATGCCATGCATTCTGATCACTGTAAACCACTCCCCCAGTCTTCCTCCCACCTCTGTTATCCCCGTTCCTCCTTACAGATCTTCCTGTATTCACGACTATTTTGTTTTTGAGGCCTACTGAATTTAACCAGGATCATCTGTGACCATGGGTTTGAAACTCTGCTGGAACCTAGTGGGCTTCTCCTTTTTGTATATTTTGAATGCATATAACCACTGAGCATTGTCCTTAGCTGCCATAGTCATTACTCTTATGTTTTTATATGTAACAATGAGTGGCTTGGTAGAAAGCTCCTCTACCAAAAACCCATCTCAATGGCCCAAAATACACACATCTAAAAAGAAGCAAAGGTGGGCTGGAGAGATGGCTCAGAAGTAAAGAGCCCTGGCTGCTCTTCCAAAGGTCCTGAGTTCAATTCCCAGCAACCACATGGTTGAGATGAGATCTAGTGCCCTCTTTTGTAGTACAGGTGGACATGCAGGTAGAACACTGTATACATAATAAATAAATAAATCCTTAAAAAAAAAAAAGGCAAAGGCATGGTAGCATATGCATTAAGGAAGATAAAGCAGGAGGATGGTGAGTTGGAAGCCAGTCTGGCTACCTGAAGTCCACACCTCCCTCCCTTTTTTCAGATGGTGATGATGCTCTAACATTTCTGCAAACCCAATTCTGAGTCCCTAGCTATCCGGTATCTCACTGAGTTCTTCTGTCTTATGGCCATCCCCAAGTGCCCTCTGAGCCCAGGACTCTGGGAACAGGACAGCTTCCTTCAGGTGAAGGTGAAAGAGGAGGAAGAAGCTAGCATCTACCAGAGCAGGGACGCCAGCCCTAGCTCTACTGCACACCCTGAGACTGCATGCCAGCACTTCTGGCACTTCTGCTACGAGAAGGCATCTAGCCCCCATCAGGAGCTGGCACAACTTCGAGAGCTATGTTGCCAGTGGCTGAGGCGAGAGTCGTCCTCCAAAGAACAGATACTGGAGTTGCTGGTGCTGGAGCAGTTCCTGGGTGTACTGCCCCCTGAAATCCAGGCCTGGGTGGGGGCTCAATGCCCAAAGAGTGGAAAGGAGGCTGCTGTTCTGGTGGAGGATCTGACTCAAATGCTGGACAGGAGAGGTTAAGAAGGAGCAGCAGGCTGGTGATCACAGATAGCTTTGGCACAGCCTGGCTGCAAGGTCAGGCTCTACTTAGGGATTGCTCGGGTAGTCATTCTCACATTTGTACCTTACTTGTGACCAAATCTCAAGCAACTAAGGGTAAGGGGCCTAGATAAGCATCCAGATACATATCCAGAAGATATATCACTGAACACTGAGCCTTGCTTTCACCCACTCTCACACTCTGCAACTCCGTTAAGTCTGGATTTTTCTACGTAAGCTTTATTTAATTTATTTATTTATTTACTTATTTATTTATGTTAGAGATTTATTTATTGTGTATACAATGTTCTGCCTACATGCTAAAAGAGGGTACCAGATCTCATTATAGATGGTTGGGAACAACCATGTGGTTTCTGGGAATTGAAATCAGGACCTCTGAAAGAACAGCCAGTGCTCTTGACCTCTGCACCCGTATTTATTTATTTTTTAAAGACAAGGTCTCTTGTACCCAGGCTAACCTCAGGTTTGCCGCATAGCTGAGAATAACCTAAACTCCTGATCCTTCAGTCATCACCTCCCCAATTCTGAGGTTACAAGCATGTACTTAACCACACTCAGCTTTGGGTGGTACAGGGGATCAAAATCAAGGGCTTTCACTGCATATAGGTAAGCACTCTGCCAGCTGAGCTACTTATTAACTAGCTAGCTGAGCTAGCTTATTAACATCTCCCCAATGAGAACAAACGTAGCCTATTAGTGTCTGACTTGTTTCTTATCCAAGTGGAAAGGGGGGAAAACAGCAAGCAGTGTCTAGTGTGAGCCTTACTGAATTAGTTAGGTCATGTGTTTGCCCTTGACCAGTCAAATTCCAGGAACTAATAGTGAGCCTGGGCACTTCCCCCAAATGAAGTGTAAGGCTGGTCCAGATGAAACGACTGGATGCCTTGAATTGAGAGGGAGAGGAAAAGAAATAAGCATCCCTGTGTACTCACTTGTGACCTTCTCTGTGCTGGCCTACAGGATCTCGGGTGGTAGAGGACGGGGGTGGGGGGAGGAGTTAGATAGCCCTGAACTGGGTACTTTGTCATTCAAGGAGACCCACACATATGTCCTAACCCAGAGAAGTCTGGCAGAATGTAAGGACCCAAGCACTGTACAGTCTAGTCCAGAAGCTTCCAGAGCACGTCCCAAGCTAACTGATCAAGTACAAATCCCTCCACATCCCTACTAATCCTGTGATTTACTTACTTAGTTATTGAGGCAGGTCTTACTGTGTAGCTCTCCTTGGAACAAGCTATGTAGTACTTACTATGTACTTCTGTGGCTTGGAACAAGCTATGTACACCAGGCTGGCCTTGAACTCTCCAGAGAACTTCTCAGCTCTGTCTTCCAAGTGCTGGGACTAAAGGAATGCTTGACTATACCTGGCTAATCCTTTGATCTTGAACCTGGGACTCAGCATCTCCTCAGCTGAACCTCAGTCTCCTCATCTACACTGGAACCACTGAGTACCTCCTTCCAGACGAAAATGAGGCAGTGAAAGTTATACACTGCACTTGGAGTCTAGCACATAACAAAATTCTGATATAAGCCAATAGCCCTGGCAAGCTACCAGTATCACAAACTGAGGTCCAGATGAAAACAGTGTTGCTTAAAGATTGACGGCTTGGCAGCTCAAAGTCTGGGGTTAAAACCCTGTTTCTGAGTCCACTCAGCCCAAGTGTAGACTAAAAAAATAGCTTCTGCATCCTTCTCTGACTTATCCCTGGGATTCATCTGTAAATATTACCAGATAAACATGTCTACCTATGAAGGGCTGATCAGTGCAAGTGCACCTCTTCCTCCTATTTACTCAGATCGGAGAACTCCAGAAGCAGATCACCCACTCACTGCCGGGGCCAGCCGGGCAGAGTCGAACAGTTCTTGAGTTGGGCGCGAGGATTAAAATTAATAAAATAAACACACAGCACACAGGAAACTTTTTAAAGGTCCAGACTCGACAGCCACGGCAAAAGGCAGACTGCTGCAGCAAGCAGCGTCAGCAGCAAGCCTCAAGTCTCTGCCTGCCTCCTCTGTCTCCAGCCTTCTTCCCTGTCTCCAGCCTTCTTCTCTGTCTCCAGCCTTCTCTTTGTCTCTAGCCTTCTCTTGCCATAACTGTCGGCCTGTCTTTTCATTGTAGAGTTTCTGAGCCAGAGTAGAAACATCTCAGAACAATAGGTTAATTTGCACAAGGAGCTAGAGGAAGAGGTGTGACCCTCACAAGCTATCCCACCTGCTGTCACAAACAAAAGGAGATGGACTTGCAAGTTCTCTGCCATTAGTAAAGGCCTGCTAAAAACCATCTCTCCACCGAGATTTAAATATCAAAGCCGGCCGCTTGGAGTCACGGCTCCCGACAACTCACCACAGCAGCAAATGTCTACCTAGTGTGCTGCTGTAGAAAATGACAGTCCCAGGTATCTGGATTGATTCTCACTTAGCCTCTCTTCCCAGAGACAACTACTGAGTTTAAGGGACAAAGCTTGGCCCTGCCCTTGATTGCTGGGAGGAGAGACACAGGTACCTGACAAGACCCAGCTCCCTCCACTCTCCTTTCTTTCAGATCTTGTCCACATGAGAGTTTTCCCTTTGGCATTTTAGCCAGATCAGGAGCATTGGCAAGATACATGGCTTAGTTGGAGGAAGTAAAATCAGAACCGTGATGTAGTTTAGACAAACCTTAATCCTTTTTCTTATCCAAGATCCAGAAGGGAAAACTTTCTTTTGGAAATGAGGCCATATGACAAGAACAATCCACATCTCCCCTTTCATAGTGGAGCAGAGCTTCAATCAGATGGAGAGGCTTGTGTCCTGATCTGTGGTGGAGAGGTAACAGTGTGATTTGAATGTTCCAGGATGGGAGCCAGGAGCAGAACATGAAGAGGCAAGTTACAAACAGAACAGTCCAGACAAGTCACAGCCACCAGACATGGCCACTGAATCCCTCATGGGAGATGTTTCCCCAAAATCTACCTTTGCCCATACTTGTAAACATGAGAGCAACTCAGAGAGCCAGCCAGAGCTCCTACAAACAGTGTGGGTGAAATCTGCCGCCCAAGAGATGGATTTCAGAAAAGCCCTGGGGTCTCACATGGATGGCCCCAAAGACCAGGCTGACCATGAGTCTGATGCCTCAGGAAACAGTTCCAACATGTGGCCCAACATCCCTTCCCAAGACAAAGCTTCTTCAGAGGAGAAATTTGGCCCATTGTTTGATAATGGGACAGTACCTCCAGATACATACTCAGAGAAGAAGCCCTCCAAGGACAGTGAGAGTATAAGAACATTCCAGAACACTTCAGCCCTAGAGTCGTACCAAAAGAGCCACTCTCAGAAGATGCCTTATGCCTGTATAGAGTGTGGAAAGGCATTCAGCTGGAGCACTCACCTTGCCCAACACCAGGTTGTACACACAGGAGCAAAGTCCCATGCATGTAAAGAGTGTGGGAAAGCCTTCAGACGAGTCTCCCACCTGACACAGCACCAGAGGATTGATACTGGGGAGAAGCCCTATAAGTGTAAAGAATGTGGCAAAACCTTTAGCCGCAGCACCCACCTCACCCACCATCAGCGGCTACACACAGGGGAGCGGCCCTATGAGTGTGATATGTGTGGCAAAGCCTTCAGCCAGAGCACCCACTTAACACAGCACCAGCGCATCCACACTGGGGAGAAGCCCTACAGATGTGATGTGTTTGGAAGAGCCTTCAGTGACTGTTCAGCTCTGGTCCGGCATCTGAGAGTCCACTCTGGAGAGAAGCCTTATCAGTGCAAGAATTGCCCAAAGGCCTTCACACAAAGCTCATCCCTCATTGAGCACCAGCGTATACATACAGGAGAGAAGCCTTACAAACGCAGTGACTGTGGGAAAGCTTTTAGCTGCAGCTCAGCTCTCATGGTGCACCTAAAGATCCATATCACTGTGCTTCAGTGACTCAAAGCACCCCTTAGAGCACAGCAGTCTCCCTCAGAGGCTTGACATCTAAGAAACCCTGAATTCTATAGGAGCCAGGAACACCACGAGTTGCTAACTGTTACACAGTGTCTAAGGGTAGACTGGGGCCATCTAGGAACACCTCTATATTTGAGGTCCCAGTAAAGTCCCCTAATGAACACAGAGATTGGGGAAGCTCCTAGAACTTTCCTACTGCCATTCATATCCCACTCAGGCTGATCCCAGAGAGAAGACATTAGTGGACTAAGGATCTGCATTGGTTCTTAGAATCTGAGCAAGTAAAGCTGAGTGTCTATACAGGCTCATGAAGCCCAAGATCCTCTAGGCAGGAACACTTCATGTTCTCACAGGACTACTTTTCGTGCCAGTTCCTTTGCTGTTCAGCTGAGAAAGGATGCCTGCCTGGCCCACTCTGTGCCTTCACACCTGCCTTCCCACCATAATTCTCCAAGACAGGCTTGTGAGGCTGACTCTCCTGTGAAACCCTCTCCATGCCATCTCTCTCATGTTCTCCCTGCTTTAACCCATAGTGGTGCTTGACACTTGCCTAATATCTGTCTTCACCTCCCACATCTTCCACACCTCACAGGTTCCAGCCTTGTGGATTCACTGGAGGCTCATTTCTATTCCAGTCCCTCCTCCTTCAGCTTACCTTCTGTGAGCTCACATTGCCTCCCACTGGCTTTTAATCAGGGCTCTCCTTTCTCACCCCTTCATGCCATCCCCAACCACTTTCTTCCAGCTGCATGTCTTTCTGCTACCCAGCTCATATTGTGTGATTCCGCAGCAGGAAATTGTCCAGTGAGTCACCTTTTCAGCAAACGTTCTTGAGTGAGGTTCAAGTATGCCAGGATACATGTCACTTTGGCCCAAGCACTTGCTGTAGTTATTTTCAATATGTATATGAATGTTGTTATTTGTCTTTGAGTACAGTAATGTGAAAGTGTTTTCAAAGTACTGGTCTGACTATTGGGCAAACTACACTCCCTGTCTATTATCTGTGTTTTCTTCAGCCCTGGCCTCCTCTTGCCTCTTCCACTCCTCTAGCCTCAACTCCCACATGCCAGCCATACTTTCTCCCACCTGCATACCTTCCTACCTATCCCTGGAACCGTTATTCCCTCTATCCTCTGGAATATCTCAGATGTCCTTGAGAAGCTTCCCCAAACATTTTTGACCTGACTTCATTTTGCCTAACACTGTTTTTGCTGCTGGAGTGCTCCATTCTTAACTTTCTTAAATCTCTTACCATGTTTTTGACCTTGTACTTTTTTTTTTTACCTTCAGAACAACTTTATTCAAATTTATTTGGGGAAAGGCTGGAGAAGTCCACGCTGTCTGCAGTCCTCGGAAGGGAAGATCTTAAAAGGGTCCCCAGCGCTAAGAGCAAAGTTATACTTCTTACAGAATTAACAGACCAGTGTTCAGTGTTCCGAAGGACACAAAATAGTTTGCACAAGATGTAGCAAACCCTTTCCAATGTCTCCAGGATGAGTATGACCAATACTTCCCTTGGGTAGTTACTGTCCTTCACCACGTTTCCTTAAAAAAAAAAAAAAATTTATGGGAGAGCCCAGATAAGCCCAAGCTGCAGTAGTCAAAACAAAACATGGCGATAATGGGGATGCCAGCACTCTGCCATTCCTAAAATCATAACCTGTTTACTCTGCCTACCTTCCTTTCCCTCAGAAAGATTATCCCCTGGCTCATGTGTCTCCTAATTAACATGGGTGACTTCACAAGGTCCTCAGTCATGGATCTACACATGAGTTTACTGTATCTAAATCCATTAGCATAATCCATTTTGTTTTCCTGAGCTTCCTGTGTCTCCTCTTGTAGCCTGTCCTGACTATCACACACAAGAATACAGACCACTAGGAGAGCTGCAAACTAGAGAGTTTCAATAGAAAATACTGAGAATCCTACCACCTACAGGTTAGACTCCTCCAACATCTGCATTTGCTTCTGTGTTGCCAGTGGAGGGAGTCCTCAAGGAAAGGCTCATACTGCAGGCCCATTCCATGGAAGCATCAGATGCAGGGTATTAAGTCAGGACTACGAACCCACTCCAGTGTATAGGGCTGCAGGTCCCTGTGTATGTGGTGCCGTGAAACAATGTGTGAAGAGAAGTTTACACACAGGGGCCTTCTGTTCACAGGGTCTGTGATACTGAGACAAACAGTTCAGGCCACACACATTGGCACCCACTGGGCTCTGATCTCTAGAACACAAGAGAGCTGTCTGCTCTTTAGACCTAAGGCTCTCAGACCGAGGGCCAAGAGCTGTAACATAGACTTCATTGAAGAGATGAGGAATCTCAATACCTAAGATTGCCTGTTACCTACAATGCCAATTGCCACTGAGGCCTGGGGACTGGAGACATCAGGGTCTGCGCAAGTGTTAAGAGTTAACACTAGTAAGGCTGGGGATGCCCAAGATCTTCACAAAGGATTTTAGCACCAGGGGGCACCCAGCTGCTGCATTTCTCACCCAGGGCTGGAAACTGGCTGGCTTGGAGGCAAGCAAATGCTACCAAGACCAGCACAGTGTCTACTAGTCTATGCTTGCATGCCTCTATCCACGTAGAGCAGAAGCACCGCAACTGGCTGGTGGTTAACATATAAGTGCTTAATCCATGGCTACCCCACCTCTCTGGATCACAGGTCATCTCCACCCCAACTGACAGCCCCCAAGGTCAAGCCCAGGCTGTTGTCCTATAGTATACACGCAATGAGGAGTATGTGGGACATCACAGGACATAACTGTCCTTTTGTACAGGCCTAAAGGTGCACACACTGCACCTGTGTGTTTCTTTGTGGCCCCTTTGTGGACACTTGGAACTACTGTGTCAGACCCTACCCTTACAGGGAAAAACAGACAAGAAACAACATTTTGGAGCCTGGTATGGAGGCGCACATCTTTAATCCAGCACTCCGGAGGCCGAGGCAGGTGGATCTCTGAATTCGAGGCCAGCCTGGTCTACAGAGTGTCTTCCAGTACAGTCTGGGCTACACAGAAAAACCCTTTCTCGAAAACTGGGGGAAAAAATTAGGAGAGAAAATGACTTGAAGGACATGTACCTGAGGGCAGCAACAGAACTTGAGGGGGGGGGGGAGAGAAAATAGGTTCTTCTAGCCTCTTTAAAATGAGGATGTAGGAGTTTTGAGTCTGAAGGAGACAGAAAATGCCTTATGGCGATTGGGAAGTGAAACAGCCAAGTACAAGGTTAGGTGTGCTTGGCTCTGAGAGCCTTAGACTGCCATGGCCGGTAGTAGGCCCAGCGCCTCCCTTCATGAGTTTCAGTCTCTCAGCCTCTATAGGGTTCAGGAACACAGCAGACTGGATATCCAGAGAGCAAACGCAGTGCCCGGACTGGATGTGCGGTTTCGCGCTTCCGCCCTAATTCCACGCTTGGGGAGAGGGATGGCGGCTTTTTCAAGAGCCGGAAGCTTCGCGTTTTGTAGACCAGAGCCGCAGGACTAAACAGAATGACACGTATTCATTGGCGGTTGCCAGCACGGGCAGCGTAGACACTTTTCTCCTCTGGCAAAGGGGGGGTGGGGGGGAGGGACAGCGCAAGGCCTGGTGGGAAATGTAGTCCGGTGGAATTCCTTCCTATAAGCTGATTGGGAGTTGGGGGCACTGTATGTTGTGGCAACGGAGTCAGACGCTCTCCCCGACCCCACCTCCACCCCCAAGTGGAATATTTACTTGCGTTATCAAGGTGATGGTGACTGCGTAAACGGCCTACCAGTCTCCCGCCAGGCTCAGGTAAACGTTGGAAGAGTACTGGAAAGCACTAAAATGTCCCAGTGAGTAGGCCGCCTCCAGGCTGGTGAAATCCCATCTCTAGAAATGAAGCCGACCACTGAGTATTAGTGCTTGAAGAACCAGAGCCCCCAAGGTGTGTGAACCCTGTTTCTCCTGCTCTTGGGATAGAATGACCTGATTAAACCAACTGTCTTTTGTCGATTCTCATAAACCTCCCCATCTATGCCTTCATCTGATTTTTATTTTTAGACAAGATTGCCCAGGCTGGTCTGGAACTCACTATGTAACCGAGGATAACTTCGAATTTCTGATTCTCCTGCCTCCACGTTACAGGCAAGAGTCACCAGACCTACCTATACAAAAATCTTGAAATCTGGGCCTGGAGAGATGTCTCAATGGTTAAAAGCACTAGCTGCTCTTCCAGAGGACCCAGGTTTGTTTCATAACACCCACATGGTGGCTTCACAACCGTCCATAACTCCAGTTTCAGGAATTCATTGCCACCTTCTGACCCCCATGGGCACCAAGTAGGCAAGTGGTATACAATACATGCAGGCAAAATACACACCCAAAAAAAAAAATTTTTTTTTTTTTTTTTTGAAAGCTGTAGGACAGAATTTTAAGAGAAGCTGAAGTCAGTGCAGTAGGCGGGTCGTTAGAAGTCACCACCTTGCACCTTCTGGCTTAGTTTTCCCAAAAATACACACTGTCTTCATCTCATTAAAGCACTCATTTTGGAATTCTGACTTCCGTGCTGCAAGATAATGTGTTGTCTTATATTACTATTATACTTTGTCACAATAGCAAACAGGAAACTGCTCATTGGGGTACTTGAGGAGGGGCTTTGTCTCCCCCGCCCCCGCCCCCAGTTTTGTTTTCAAACAGAGTGTCTCAGCCAGGGGGAGTGGCACATACCTATAAATCCCAGCATTCTGGGAGGTAGAGGCAGGCAGATCTCCGAGTTCGAGGCTGGCCAGCCTGGTCTACAAAGCAAGTCTAGGAGAGCCAAGGCTATACAGAGAAACCCTGTCTTAAAAAACAAAAAAATCAAAACAAAACAAAACAAAAAAAACCCAACCAACCAAAAAGCAGAGTGTCCCTCTTTATGTTATGCTATTCTCAAACTCATCACCCTCCTGCCACAGCCTCCTAAGCACTGTGACTAGGTGTGTATCATTATGGCCTTCTTTTGTGGATTTGTTGTTTTGTTTTACATTTATTTATTTAGTGGAAGGTGGAGGTATGCGTGCTAACATGTCCTACAGCGTCTATAGAGGCAGAGGACAATGTGTGGGAGTTGGTTCTCTCCTACCTTGTGGGTTCAGGCTGTCCAATTCAGGTCACCATGCTTGGTGCTAAAGGCCTTTACCTGCTGAGCTATCTTGCCAATCTCTTTGTAGCAGAGAAGGCCACAAGACCAGTTGTGCCTTGTATTTGTTTGTGACTCCAGTCTAGTCACAAACTAGTCTTACATTTTTAGCAGTGCCTACTCCCATTTTCCTAAGTAAAGCAAGTGAATTTATGTAAATCTGTGGTTCTCAAGCACAGTTCTGTCTTCTAGGGAACAGTTGGCCATATATGGAGATATATGAGGTTGTGGTGGGGCAGGGACCAGTAGTAGTATTCTGTTGATGGAGGCCAGAGATGCTCTAAGCATCCTGAAATGTACAAGATAGGCCTAACCATAAACGCAATGTGCCAAGTTAAAGAAACCCAGTGAGGAGCTGGGATCTAGGTTACCTGGTAGAATGCTTGCCTAGCATGCACATATGGGGGCGGAGGGGGAGGTGTAGGATAATCAGAAATTCACGGTCAGCCTTGGCTTCATAGTGAGTTTGACACCAGACTGGGCTTCATAAGTTTGTCTCAATAAAACCAAAATATAAATAAATATGGGGTTGGGGACATAGCTCAGATGGTAGACTACTTGCCTAGCATGTACAGGGCCCTGGGTCAGTCCCAGCACTGGATATAGATGGGCATGGTAGCATGTGCCTATAATCTCAGTACTCAAGAGATAAAGGGAGGAAGATCAGAAGTCAAGGTTATTGTGCTATTGGATTTATAGAATAATAACCATGCTTTTGGTTTTGAATGAGTAAGTTTATTAACTACATAAAAGGAAAAGGAAAAGAATAGTGAGTGTTAGGTCTCAAACTCAGGACAAATAGCTACCTGAGGTGCCTATTCAACATATCAAATAAGATGTTGGCTACCAGGTTTTCCCAACGTTTTTCATTACCTGTTACAGAGTCATCCTGGCTAGCATATCCCACCCCCTACCCTAAACCCTTCAGCATTAGGGACTGGGCTGGGCTTCCCTTCCCCTAGTTTCTCTGGATTCTATATAACCTCAGCCATTTGGGTCATGCATCCCTTTTACCTCCTGTGTTCTTGGTCTCTGGGTTCCCAGGTACTCTCTTTGCTTCCTCTCTTATCTTCCTCTGTTGCTCCCACATACACACCCTCTCCTCTCATGGCCGCTTTAGTCTGGACCTCTGGCTGAATTCTATCTCATATCTCAATAAACCTCCTCCACCGTACCTGGGAACAATTATGTCCTCATTTTTTTCATTCAGTGATTACCAGAGAGAAGCATCACATAGATAACAAACATCATCAAGTCCAGTGTTCAGAAATCCTGGAGAGACAACTGAAGTAGCCTGATTAAAAGAGCAAATGAAAACTATGTCATCAAATCAGAGGCTCACAAACATAAGCAAAACTCAACTGGGGAATGCCCTGCTGAAACCACTATGCTTGTAATTCCTGACTGAAAAGTTCAGGAAGAAGGATTGAATATTTTCCATGGCCTCTCATTTATGTCATGGAATAAACAATAACAGCATAGATTGAAAATATTTTACCTTCTTCTTGTTTTTTTCCGTTGTTGTTGTCTTGTTTGTTTTGGTTTCTGAGACGGAGTCTTGCCATGTAGCCTTGCCTGGTCTGGAACTCAACATGTACACCAGGCTAAACTCAAACTCAGAGATCTGCTGTGAATGCTATGATTAAAGGCATGCACTACCACACCTAGTGACACAAATGCTCTTAACATCTCTTGCTGTTTTCTCTTCTCACCATTACAGGCTTAAGGGTCCAGCTTGCCCCAGGACAGGGTTTTGGAGGACATGTTTGGTCTGAAGTTAAGGAGCCATCTTGACTGTTCTTCCAAGTGAGCTCAAACATCCCTAACAGGTCAGGAAGATAACTCAGTGTTTAAAATGCTTGCCTGACTGAGCGTGACAACCTGTTAAATTTCCAGAATCTACATAATGGAAGGAGAAAACCCGTTAAGTTATCTTCTGACCTCCACACATGCCAAACATGTACTACATATATGTATGTAAATATATTTTTTAAAAACTGCATTTTAAAAATTGTATATACACACACAACCTGTGGATGTAGCTCTATGGTAGAAGATTTGCCTAGCATGCAAAAGGGTCTGGATAACATCCTCAGGACCCAAAAACAAATTTTAAAAAAAAAGACATCAGCATGATCCTGGAGGAACAACTCCTCTTCCTGGACACCTGGACCCAACTGGGAGAGCCAGGCTCCAACAAAATAAATACTCAGATGACTGCAAAAATCAAGTATGCTTCCAAAATGGAGGTTCTGGATCAGCCACAGAATAACTCTCCCATACCAAGCTGATAAAGAGCATCCCTTCCCTTTAAAGTTGGGGTACAGTGGGCAGAGAGAGAGGAAACCAGATCAAGACCTTACAAACAAATTCTGAAGTTCTAGAATTCAGATCTTCAGAAACCCTTGGACTTGAGTGCTGAGAGCTCCTACAGGCTTCTGCTGGTAGTGGTAATGAAGAGAAGATGGAACTCAAGGCCTTGTACATACTCAGACAAGTGCTCTGCTACCAGCCCCAACTCAACCTCCTGCTGGTAGGTTCTAAGCAGGTGTTCCACCAATGAGATTCATTCTCAGCCAATGCTATTCACCCCAGTATTCCAGTGAGGGGGTAGGACTTGATCCCATTTGTCATCACCACCCCAGCAACATACATTCCTCCTGTCATTCCCCAGTTCCGCTGAGCCACCCTGACAACACGTGGTGTAATTTACAGTGAAATAAACTGAAGTACTTTGAAAGGGCATAAGCAACACTCACTGCACTCACACTCACTGCACCTATCTCTGTGTTGTGTGAACTGTTTCTGGGGAGAGGTGAAAAACATCTGACTGCAGGTAGAGCACCACCAACAAAAAGGATTCCACAAGAGTATTAATAATGCCATGAGTTTAATTGGAGCATAGGCAAATTATAGGTGGCTGCATTGCTAAGGTAAATCTCTCTTACCCAAGCAACCTATTACCTGTCTATAAGTCCTCAGGGAAGACATTGGCCTCATAAACCCTTCCCCCTTCCTTTGCAGAAAGGGTCTCCTGGTAATCATAGCTGCTGACAGTTTGAGGGCAATGCCCATGTCCTGCCCAGAGGACAGACTTCCAAAATATTCTGCTTTGAAGTCCTTTTCCTGTAACAAGTATGCCTCCCACAGAGGGAGGCCAACCTTGGTTGAGCATGCTGGGGTTTTTTGAAGCAGTACTAAAAGGCCCAGAGCAGTGGGAATGGTCAGCTTGTCTGCCATGGAGTTTACAGAGAGGAGACAAAACTGTCCAGCAGGAGCTGGGGTAGCAACAGAGATGCCTGTCTTTGGACCATTCTGTTTTTCTTTATTACTATTATTATTATTATTATTATTATTATTATTATTATTACATTACTAATCTCTTGTGTGGGTATGTCCTGAGCCAACCCATTTTGCTTAAAGTCCTTAAAGACAAACAAGCTTTGTCTTTAAGCTTTAAGATATATTTATTGTTGGGGAGAGGGATGCATATTCAACAGCATACATATGGAGATCAGAGGACAACTTTGGGAGAGTTGTCTCCTTCCACCTTCTTTTGAGGTCGGTTCTCTTTTGTCTGCTGCTTTTATGCCCCTGTTTCTTCATCCCATGTCATCATAACAAGTAACATGATTGTGCAGTTTGCAAAATTTCCTTGGAAGAGGCTATTCTTCCTAGGTCATACCATGTCTGCAGAAAAGGACCAAATTCAGGTAGCTTTGGAGCTGTGGGAGAGACAATGCTGTGGGAGGGACAGGCCAGGTGAGATAGGAGACTTCATACTCTGGAGTCCTCACCCTCTTTTGCTGTGTGACCCTGTTACTTCATCTCTCTAGTTGTCATGGCTATATAAAATGGGATGTCTGTGTCATAAGGTTGCCCTGAAGAGTAAATGACCTGTTTGCTAGACTCCTGATGCCTATGTAGAGTCTGCAAGGGGTTTACCACAGGATGAGTCCAACTAGGAAAGGGCCAATGAATGAGAGCGGTGGCAACTCAGATTGACACCACGAGCTGTCAGGAGTCTCTCCCACGTGAGACAGAGGCAAAAGCCAATGAGGGCAGAGGTGGGTTTCTAAGGTATTTTAGTTACCTGTAGCTGGTGGATTAAAACAACAGCAATTTGTTCTTTCAGAGTTCTGAAAGTCTGAAGTTCAACAAATCAGGTATTGTAGAGTCTCAAACGCCTTGGAGACTGTAGGAAAGGATGTTTTTACACCAATTCCAGATTCTGGTGGTGCTAAATGTTTTGGCACACCCTTTTAATTCTAGTTCAGAGACAGACACAGAAGGATCTCTATGATTGGGAGGCTAGCCTGGCCTTCATAGTGACCTTCAGTACATCTAGGGTTGTAAACAAAAAAAGCCAAAAACAAAACAACACAAAAAACTAGCCAACTTCTGGTGGATGCAAGTACTTTTTGGCATGTGGCTGCATCATTCCAATCTGCTTCTATGGTCACATGGCCTTTCCTCCATCCACTCCTTCCCCTTTCCTCTTCCTCTTCTCTCTTATCACTAAAAGTTGTTTTCAAGGGGAAGATGTGAGCAGTGTCTACCCATTCTCCTAAGATTCCAATGGCAAACCAAAGCACATTCCACCAAAGCTCACTCTGGAGAACCAGTAGGAGTTTATTGCATTTCCTTACAAAGCACGGGTGAGGGGGTGCTTACAGTGGGGTTAGGTGCTCCTCCCACAGCAGTCCCCACCTGAAAAGCCCTTTATCCAGTATCAAGAATTATTTCCTCATAGCCATAGCTGCATAGATGGAGCCTTCCTCCCCTATCTGGCTAACTGTTCTTTATCTCAAGTATATCAACCCAGAATATGCTTTTATGCGTAAAAGCTCACCCTGAGAAAGGCTTGGGTCTACACTGGGCTCCCGAACACTCAGTATATACTGTCACCAGTCAGCTAATAAAGACTTTCTATTGGCTTAAATCCATGCCCAAGTATTCTTCTCTGATGGATAACCCACAACAGTGGGGAGCCCAGGCTGGAACTAGACATGATGCTTTTAAAGATGAGGACAGCCTGTGCAGGGCCTCCAAGGTCCCCACCAGCTTCAAGAAAGTAATGCCAGCAGCCCAAGAGTTATGCGAGTGACACTCTAGCTCTTTCCAAGAGGTCTAAGGGTAGGGAGAGGAGAGATGGCTCAGCAGTCATTTCTTTTTTCCCCAAGATTTATTTATTACAGAATCCTGCCTGTGTGTGTACTTGCATGCCAGAAGAGAGCACAGATCTTCTTATAGATGGTTATGAGCCACCATGTGGTTTCTGGAAATTGAACTCAGAACCTTTGGAAGAACAGCTTGTGCTCTTAACATCTGAGCCATCTCTCCTGCCCCAGTGGTCATTTTTTTTTAAAGTGCTAGCACCCACCTAGGAGGTTCACAACCACCTGTTACTCCAGCTCTACAGGATCTATTACCCTTTCCTAGCCTCTTTGGACTCCCATGCATGCATGCTTGACCTACAAAAAAATTAAGAATTTTAGGGGTGCTGGGTGTAATGATGCATCCCAATGATCCCAACTCTAGAGAGGCAGACAGGTAGATCAATGAGTGCAAGGCCAGCCTGGTCTACCCAGCAATTTGAGCTAGCCAAATTGTCTACAATAACAGGACTTTGTTTCAAATAGTAATAATTATAATGGTTTGGGATTGCTGGTTGTTTTTTTTTTTTTAGGTAGAATCTCATGTAGCCCAAACTGGCCTTAAACTCACTGTGTAGTAGAGGGTGGCCCTGAACTCCCGACGCTCCTGCTTCTACCTCCCAAATGCTGGGGTGGCAGGTGTGCACCACCCTACCTGGCTTGAGCAAACTAAATGTTATCTGTGCAAATCAACTTCTGCAGTATTTCTCATAGGTTTATGGGCCACATTCTGGAGCCCCTCACCTGCCTTCTGTCACCTAGTAATTCTCATGAGGTCTATAAAACATCTATTATCAACTACTGTGGTGCAGTGACAGCTTTCAAAGAGAAGTAGGGTGACACCCCGTCGCTCCCCAACATTAACCACAAGCTGGGCAAAGCCTTAAACTTTGCAGCTCAGAGACTGGCTAATTAGGCAGGATTCCTGGCATACCCCTTATCCCTCCCTCCACATATACGAGGTGTGAACTGAGGTAGATAAACAAACCTTACAGGAAACTAAATCCAGACCTGAGCTGTTCACAAAGACTCTTTTAGGAAGTAGCTGGGGAAGAGGATAGAGGCCTGTGTGGGGCGGGAAACTGCAGGGTGACCATTTCCATCCCGCCTTTCACAGGTCAACCTAGT